CCCGCGGGAGAAGCCGTCGCTTAGCACACTGGAAAATGTAGGGCGGTTGCGTTTCGACGCTTGCTGGACATGCCATTCGAACTCGGTGGTTCTGCAGAGTGAACCCTGCGAGAAGCGTCTCGGCCAGCGAGAAGCGTCTCAATAGTGACTGGCCTTGTCAGCCAGTTCTGTGAACGGGCAAGTCGAGCACGAATGGCAAGTCCAGCAGGGCCCTGGGAGCTCTCGCCTGAACTGCGCACGCAGCGAAAGCACGGTCTGGAGTGAAAGTGAATGCTTGCTTGCAGGCCGCGGGGTCGGGGGGTCCTCGATCGCCCCGGCCCCGCCCAGCTATCCTCCGCCCCAGGCACCCTGGAGACTGCAAGGCGCATGCTTCCAGCTGATGCCCCAAGCACGATGATGCCGTTGCCCACTGGGGCCCACCGACCCCACCCCTGATGCATCATCATCATCGCCATCATCAACAGCAGCATCAGCATCAGCATCATCTTGGTATTTGATTATTGACAATTGTGGCTATTTCGACAGGACGTCTCGGAGCCTGCCCGGGGCCCTCTCGGGCGTTCCTGGGGCCCCAGCGCGCATTGGGGCCCCCGCGGTAGAGCATCTGAAATGGTCGTTTCAGATGCTCCACCGCGGGGGATGACTCGGGGTGCTTCTCTGGTTCTGGCCCCCCGCGGGCCCGCCTGTCCACGACCCCCGCGCGCAGCTGGTATGGGCCCTCCTTAGACTCCTTAGATCCTTAGGAAGCTTAGCTTCTCAAGATGGCCAGCCGCTCCCGCCGCCAGGGCGCGCCCAACGGTCTGCGGTGGCCCGCCGACGACGACGGCGACGACGACAACGAGGACGAGGACATGAGGACGAGGGCGAGGGCGACGAGGACGAGGCCGACGAGGACGACGACTACGGACGAGGACGATGGCGACGACGACGACGATCGGGCCCCGCGGACCCGCTGCGACCATCTGAGGGGAGTCTGAGGGGCAACCCTCGCACCCGCCGTGGCCCGCATGCGCCGCATGGGCCCCATGGGCCCTCTGAGGGGTCGCGCATGGGCAGTCTCTGGAGCCAACCCTTGCATCAGCTGTGTCACGCGTGTATGTGTGTATGTGTGTGCGCGTATGACACAGTGTATGTATGTGTGCGTGTGTGCGTGTGTGCGTGTGTGCTTGCGTCGGGAGGTCGGGCGTCGGCTCTGGCTCGGCGGCGGCCCATCTTGCGCGTGATACGCAGAGAGCTGCACTGAACAATCATGTCCTTATCGTGTTTGGCTCACAGGAAGCGTGCGTGCTTGTGCGTGTTTGTGTGCGTGTGTTCGCGCGTGCGCGCGCGTGCGTGCGTGGCTATACAGAAAAAGGCGTCTGACCCGAAATGGGGTTACAAAACAAATATCCAGATACTTTGCACTGCAATATCCGCTAACACTCTGGACCGCACCCCAAAGCCCAGGTAACTAGCGATCTCCGCTGACACTCTGAACAGGACCCCAAGCCCAGGTAACTTGCAGCTTCCGCTAACATCATAAACAAAATTCATGCCCGGGTCACTTGCAATCACCGCTAACACTCGACAGAACCCCTGCCCAGGTAACACGCGCTCTCCGCTAACACTCTAAACATAACCCCGCGCCCAGGTAGCTTGCAATATCCACTAACGCCCTAGACAAAAGCTCATGCCCAAGTATGTTGCAATCTTCGATGACACTCTAGACAAATCCCCATGCCGAGGTAAGGGGGCTTCGGCTTCGGCTGCAATCATTGCCTCCGCCCTCCTCGACCTCGCCAGGTGCCCCCCGCTGCTCCTCCTCCCCATCCCCCTCCCCCTCCGCCCCCTTTTCCTACTCCTCCTCCTCCTCCTCCTACTCCTCCTCCTCCTCGTCCTCCTCCTCGTCCTCGTCCTCCTCATCTCCTCCCCCTCTCCCTCCTCCGACTCCCCTCCCTCCGCTTCCCCCCTGACCCCATCCTCCTGGGCGCCCGCCCACCCTGGCAGTCGCCGTCGTCGCCGAGCCCGCGCGGTGCGCGGGGCGGGCCTGCAAGGCCTTCGCCGGCGATGCGGCAATGGCTGTCTTGGAGGCGGTCTCGATCGTGGCGACGGAGGCGCGCCTCCACCGCGCGCGCCGCCCGCCCCGCGCTTCCCCGACCTCCGGGCCCCAGGTCCTCAGATCCTCAGAGGCCCAACCCTGTGGGGAGGGGGCCCAACCCTGCGGGTCCCTGTGGGAGAAGGGGGGGCGGGGGGGATAGAGGGGAAGGGGTCGAGAGTCGCGGTAAGAACATGACCCGGGGACTGGAGAGGAGAGGGGCGCACAGGGGCGACCCGGATCGGAGAGGGGCGCGCGCATATCGGGTCGACAGTGTTGGGGGCTCTTGGATAGTTTAGTCGGACAACCCGCCGTCAGGGCGGGGGGGGCCCGCGGGCCCCATCGGTAGCTAGGGGGAAGCCGTCGTGCCCATCGTGCTCCAGAGCGGCAGAGCGGATATGTCACATCCCCCTGGTGCTGAAGGGGCGCGTTCCAAATCGTCTTACCCGACGGGGCTCCTCTCCACGTCTCCACCAGAGTGGGTCGGGGGGCGGCGGGGGCGGAGGAGCGAGGAGGAATAACACGGGGTCGTGGGGCGAGCCGCGGGCGACGGGGGGGGGCAACGCGCACTGGCAGATAGTGGCAGATAGCAGCCTCCCAGAGAGGTTCGTCCCCCTCCCCCCCCTCATCGCTCCTCATTCATCAAGTTTCCGCCTGCGCCTCATGCCTCATCCCCATTCCTTGCCCTCTAATGCGGGATCGAGCTGAGCTTAACATAGCATAACTTAACATATGCATAGGCTTAGGCACGCAGGTCTGCAAGCGCACGCTTGGGTTCTAGCCCGCGAAGTCAGTCCACGACAACGCGCTGGTGCATATATCGTTCTGCTCACGCAGTCTACTTGGCAAGTTCATCCCTTTGCCCCGTCCGTATGTGCCTGCACATTCCCTCTCGAGCCTCTCGCCTCTCGACCACTGACTTAGTTTCCAGATCGATGTCAGCAAGACAGACATCGTCAATGTGTATGTGTATATAATATAGATAGCGCATCACTGGCCATAGGCTAGGCCATAGCCGAGCCAACGAAGTACTCAGCACGCGCGATCGCCGCGCCCTGGGGCCGCTGCACTGATTCCTGTAAGGCAGCAGCGGGGCAAGCCGGCGCCGTGCCTGGGCGAGCAAGGCAACGTAACGCCCAGAAGCGGCAGCTACCTTCCAGGCAGGCAGGGCGCCCGCCAGCCCCAACAAGCCCCACTGCACCACTGCCGACTTGCATGGCCAGCTCGAAACTTCAACTTGCCCGAGAGTTTCTGATTTTATTTGCTGGGCGATATCGAAGGTATCCGAGGGTCCATTTGGTTTCGTATGACTTCTGAATGCATGGGGGGTACGCTGTCCACATCGAAAAAAAACATGCGGCCATGGTGCCACGGGGCCATGCGAAGGCAGTGGGCGGCGACGGCGATGATGGCCCTTGATGGCCAGGGAGGCGGCAGCAGACTGGCAGACTGCCACCTGAAAACGAGCGCACTCGTCTCGTTGCCCACAGGACGATCGAGCGTTGCACGCCAGCGCGACCGAGCTCGCTCTCGCGCATCTGGCACGGCCGGCACAGCCCGGAGAAGCACGGGAAGCCGCACTGGACTCTGGAATGGCCAGCCGGGCCTCTTTGCAGGGCTTTCAAAATCGCGAGTGCGCCGAGAGGCAGCCCGGCAAACGACAGCTCAAATCTTCATGATCGAACAACGCGGAGAGTGAGAGGCAGGGGGGGTAATGCGATACGCTATACAGCTATACAGCTATACATTTCAGTTTACATCATACTTGGAAACGATACTACGCATGAGAGGGAAGGGGGCAGGGTGAACGCTGCTGGCCACTGACGGTCTGACGGGCTAATTAAACTATCTTGACGCTGACGCAAAAATGCCGCCCTGAGGGCATATCGAGTATGTACATTCCTTCGCCGGGTACGATGCGTCGCCAGGGGGCGCGCCAGGGGGCCCGCCCGGGGCCTGCTCGCGCGAGCTCACGCTGACCCTGGCTGGAAAGGCGTTGCGCCGTGGCCGCGGGGAGGGAAGTTCTCGCCATAGATGTCGTCCGCGAGCGCGGGCATGGGCGGCTGCAGTGGCTGCTGCACGGGGCGACCGTCCTCGCGGGCGTGCTCCCTCTCCACCGCGCCAGCCAGCGCTGCGTTGTAGGCCCTCTTCAGACGGAGGACATCGCCAATCGGGACGATCTTCCTCTGAGGACCGCGCAAGCAAAACGCTCGCAAACTCCCGGGCCACCCTAGTCGTGATTCGAATTGTATTATCAGAATTATCAGTCTGATAATACATCGGATAAGTGATCAGATCGTTTGACTTGAAACGATCTCATAACGTATCCGATATATTATCAGACTGATAATCCGATCTTTTCCGATCCGATCTTTTCCGATACGAGCTTACCCGACCTTACTTTGACTCACCCCGTCACATCGTGTCCGATATCATACTATCCGATCGGATTTGAGATTACCCCATATTACCCGATTGTATCCGATGATATCCGATCTTACCCGAACTCACCTCCGTTCCATCTCATCCGATCTTATATGATCTTATCCCCGTCCCATTTTATCAGATTACCCCATATTCTCTGATCTACACTGGTCCACCCTACCCCCGTCCCATATGCCGTCTGTGCCCCCGACGCAGGAAGTATCGACTGCTTGCTTGCTTCCAGTCAGCCCACTCCACTCCTCCACCCAACGTCCAGCTATCCATTCGATAGCTGGGCGTTGGATAGCCTACCCAACACCCCGCGCGCCCAGCCACCTGGCCCGCCATGATCCCCCCGCGGCCAGGTGATGGACGGCGATGGAAGCGCCAGGGGGTGATGGACGGCCAGGAGGAGCCGGGGCCAGGGGGGGGCAAGGGGCCAGAGGGGTGACGACGACGACGGCCGTGACGACGGCCACGACGGGCACGACAGTTGACAGCGTTAAACGGCCCTCAGGCTCCACGAAAAGCTCAGGTCCCGCGCAAGGCCGATGAGAGTCTGGTCCATCCTGCGGGCCTGCGTTGTCGTGTACAGGTACACGATGCCTGGGATTGGCACGCACATCGAGTTGCCAGCCTGCCCGGCGACGATGACAGACCTCGGCAGCGACGATTGGCGGCGGAGCAGGAGCAGGGGCCCGAAGCGAAAGTTGGAAGGCAGACCCTAGTCGCATAATGCGCTCTCCACAACGTCGGAGTTGTCTTGCCTAGGGCCCCAGGGCTTGCCTCATCATACTCCTCCCCCCCTCATCGTTATCCTCCGTCCTCCGTCCTCCGTCTCGTCCTCCCACTCCTCCTCCTCCTCCCCCTCCTCCTATCGAGCCCCCCCTCACCTCCTAACCCTCATGGTTGTATGCCGACCGACTCGAAAGCAAAACCTCACCGCCTCATCATCCTCCCATCTTCCCCTCGGCCATCCATGGAGCAGCAGCCCCCCTTGGTAAACGCCCGCTGCACCTCCTGGCGCGAGGCAGGTGGAAACTGCTGGTCGGCGGCGCCGGGGAGCCGCCGTCGGGCCACACGGGGAAGGCCTGCGTGGCAAGGCACTCCGTCGCGGTCAGCCACCGCGAGACATGCCCAGACTTCCTGCGGTCCCCCCAGTACATGCCAGTGTTCTTGATCAGCGTGTGCATGGTCTTCTCGGTGCTCCTGGCACCAAACCCAGCAGAATGGCTCTGGTACAGAGAGTACATGCAGTATGGCCGGCTGGTGCGATAGCTGTTCATGTTATCGTATTCCCAATCGGTCAAAGCCAGCTCGAACGATTCCGACGCGTTCGGGTCCAGCAGCTCCGGAGTCAATCCCAAACGCCTGCACCGAGAGCTCTTCCTGCTCGCAGCAGCGATGAGCTCGGCCTTGATCTCCTCAATGTCGGCCCTGAAGAAGGCCTCCCAAGCGAACTGGCAAGCCCGATGGAAGCGACACATGAAGTCGCTGAACGGCACGTCGGTGCTGAGGATCTTCTTCTTGTTCAGCAAGATCGTCCACCTCCGCACCCGCGTAACTGGGAAGCCGTAGTGCTCGGAGTCCTCGACCGTCGTCTCGATGCGGTACAGGTCCCCTAGGAGCTCCTGCAACAAACTCACTGGGAACTTCTCCACGTTCTCCTGCACGATCACAGGGTGTTGAAGGAGACGGCAAAGACCCACCCACGCCAAGAAATGAATCATGCTAACGCTCGCCGTGCCGCAGTGACTGCCTGCATCCGACCAGTCTGGGCACGGCGTGCCAGCGAAGTGAACCTTCGTGGCCTGCATGCGACAGCTCTTCCCATGGCGGAGACACCTGGCAGTCGGGGTCACCGACAGGTTGGTAGTCACGAGCGGGGCAAGCAAACCCATGATGCGATCTGGGTGTTCATGAAGGTAGTCGATCAGCGGGCGCATCTGGGGCTTGAAGAAGCACTCGATGTCGTCGTATATGCAGGCGTTCGAGCCTGGCATGATCAAGAGCTCCTGCTGCGACTCGTGGAACCACTCGACGTGATGCATCACGAGCGGGTGGACGCGGTCGATCACCAGCCTGGGGAAGAACTGCTGCAGGCGAGACTGCAGTGCGTTGGACAACTCTCCGATCGCTACGCCCGGCGCGTCGATGCCCGAGAACGCGCAACTGATCGTGTCGTTGCCGAACTTGTCGTAAACGTCAGAGAGCAAGCCAGCCTCCTCGGCAGGGTTCTTCACTGAGTACTCCTCCGCAAGACGATCCAAGACATGGTCGGGCCATGCCATTGCCTCCGACATGAACCTGACGGCCCGCTTGCCTTGCCAACGACTGCCGCGCGAGCGGGGCTCGACCCAAGGGGTGCACGCAGGATCTGGCACTGGAGGCGGCGGGGCGTTCCCGCCGCTCGAGCTGCTTGGGCTGGCGAGGCGGGGGGCACGATGCAGCGGCGACTGCGGGTGATTGGACCGAGCGATGCTGGCACCTGCAGGCTTCGCATCGGAGAAGGGCGAGCCAAACAACGCAGACTCCGTGGGCGAGCTCGGCGCTGCGGGCCGCGCGGGCGGCGCAGACAGGCAAAGCGTCTCCATCAGGTGCTCGTCAGCAACAGCGGTGGCCAGCCTGCGTGGGGTAGGGCTGAGCATGTCGTCGTCTGCGACAGCAGCTGGGTCATCACCATCGCCGCCAGCAGGCCCCGCGGGCGCGACATCGGCATCTGCGGCAGCAGCTGGGCCCTCGCCATCGCCGCCAACAGGCTGCGGGTGCGCGGCGGGGCCCGCGCGCGGGCCCGACGCCAGCTGCAGCGTCGACGCCCGGATCATGGCGGACCCAGGCGAGTCCGGCGCCACGTCGGATGGTGGCGACGAAGGCGTGGGCTCCTCGGCCTGGCCGACGAACGCGGACGCCGCCGCCGCCGTCCGCCTCGCAGCACTGAGGTCGATCGGCTCGGTCGCAGCACTACCGTCATCAGCACCATCAGACCAGTCGCTCAGGTTGCCGCCGGCGATGTCGCCTGCCGCACCTGCAGACGGGCAGTCGCTCAGGTTGCTGCCGGCGACGTCGCCTGCCGTCACTGCAGGCGGGCTGGTGATGCTGCGGCGCTTCTTCGGGCTGGGCGTCTTGAAACCTGCGAACTTGTGCAACGTAGCCTGGATGGCCACCGCCTTGGCCTCAGGGTGACAACGAGTTACCATAATAAATTAATGTAGCGCATCCAACCCGCATAGTAAGGATGTAAGGATGCACATTAAGGGGGGAGGGCGCAAGGACCGCGGAGGAACACGTCAACGGTTCTCGAACGAGGTTGACAGACGACAATCGCTAAGGATGTTACAAATGGGCAAGGATGTAAGGGCGGTGTTGATAAGTGGATCAACCTTACTATGAGGATGGATGGACTACATCGATAATATGTCACGCAGTCGGCATCGTCATATTTACAGGGGGCGGTCGCCAATGCCAACCATCATCAGTATGATGGTTGGCGTGAGGAGTGATATATACAACTATGTTTGTGTATATCTATATATTCACATATATGTATGCTTATATAAACCTTACTAGATGTATCACGGATGCCTTGGCAGGAGTAGCGGCCGTCCTGCGCTTGGGCGCCGGCTTCATGGCACGCTTGCCGATGGTCAGCGAGTGGGCTGGAATGGCAGGAGTAGCGGCAGTCCTGCGCTTGGGCGCCGGCTTCATGGCACGCTTGCCCATGGTCAGCGAATGGGCTGGAATCTGGAGTGCTGGAGCGTGTGAACGCAACGATAAACTCGAAGACACATACACAAATAGCCAAAACAGCTAAGGACAATGGACATATACCAGTGCACGCGCTGGTCTGAATTAGCAGCAGGGGTAGCGACATACACGATGCATGTTGGATGGAGGAGGCGATCTTCGTCATAGACACAGCGTAGGGACATGGCCCATACGCGCAACTGTCAGTGTAGAGATCGACTCCCCACGTACCACATGCTACATGTAGGTAGCTAGACCCCTACGGCAGTTGTGATGGTGTGTAAGGGGTGGGGTCCCTACGTACGTGTCCATATGTAGGGCGTATCATCCCTACATACCGAACATGTCGTGTAGGGAGACATCTCCCTACACGTGGATAGGCGGTATGTAGGGAGGATGGTCCCTACACATACAGATGGGTGTAGGGAATGACCTCCCCACACCATATGTAGGTGTAGGGAGGTGGGTCCCTACACATAAGTGGGCGTAGGGAGGTGGGTCCCTACATGTAGGTGGGTGTAGGGAGGTGGGTCCCTACATATAGGTGGGTGCAGGGAGGTGGGTCCCTACATATAGGTGGGTGTAGGGAGGTGGGTCCCTACATATAGGTGCATGTAGGGAGGTGGGTCCCTACATATAGGTGGGTGTAGGGAGGTGGGTCCCTACATATAGGTGGGTGTAGGGAGGGGGGTCCCTACATATAGGTGGGTGTAGGGAGGTGGGTCCCTACATATAGGTGCATGTAGGGAGGTGGGTCCCTACATATAGGTGGGTGTAGGGAGGTGGGTCCCTACAGTTATATATGCGTGTAGGGAGCAACCTCCCTACGCACTGTATGTACCGTGTAGGGAGGGACGTCCCTACATGCGGATATGTGGCGTGTAGGGAGGTAACTCCCTACATATACATACATGTGTAGGGAATAACATCCCTACACCACGCACATACATGTAGGGAGTGACATTCCTACACCACAGACAGACATGTAGGGAGTGACATCCCTACATCACATATGGATGGATGTCTTGTAGGGAGATTGGTCCCTACATTTATGTTCACATGTAGGGGCTACATCCCTACACATCATATACTACATATATTGCACGTGTACATCCCTGCATGGTGATGTGTGGTTATATATATGTACGTATATGCATATGCACATGTACGCAGGGAGGTACCAGTATACACATCATATACATACCGCAGGGGGGGTCATCATTCCATTGGACGAAATGCGGAGAGAGATGCACATGCGCATGCATGGATCCGCGTGGACATACATCCATACATCCCTACATCGTGCGTGTATTATGTACAGGGTGCATGCGTACAGTGAGCGACGTGGTGGGATGATGGTATATAGTATATACGCGTGCGTATATATGTATGTGTGGGAAGCGAGCTGATCATCACCACGCACATCACATATATCGTGTGGTGAGCCAACCTGTATTATGTCGATACGACGCGCATATGATGTAAATATGTACAGATATGCAGGGAGCGTCGCCACATCCACGCGCATCGTCTACACCATGCAGAGTAGTGCGCAACACTCCGTAGCGTAAGGGTGGGGCGGTCGGTGCAGACATCATCCTCTCCGATACCGTCCGGGATCTGCCATGGCCATGAGCTGGGGCTGCACTGGTACATATCAATCCCTCTCTCAATCTCCATTTCCACCTCCTCCTCATCATCATCATATGTCTATCCTTCTTCTCCTCCTCCATCGGACTCCATCATCATCGCCATATCCATATTGACCTCCTCCTCAACCTCATAGTCATCCTTTTCGCTTAGCGTGCGATGGTCGCTAAGGTCGCTGAACAATTTCGTTAGAGTTTAGCAGTCATCTCGCTAGAAGTCGCACGCGACGCTTAGATGGGGGCCTCTGTGGAGTTCTGAGTCATGTCATCGTTTGACCTCGCCCGCCCTCTTAAGAGCCCGTTAGCGTATCCTGAAAAAAAGATGTTGCATTATGGAGTCATGTGAGGTGAGGTGAGAACCACGCGGGGGCCAGGTGGGTCGTCGAGAATCTCTGGGCAGTAATATCAAGTGTGTCCCCCTCTCGTTCTCCTCAGTTATCCTATCACTCTCGAGGTCTCTCCTGCTCTCCTCCCCCTCCTTCCTCGCGTCGCCTTGGGCGCCCGCGCTGTCGCCCGCCGCTCGCCAGGACCTCCTGGACTATTCGACCTCCTCCGGCACATCGTCGGCTTCCTGCGCGCACGGCGGCGCGCAGCCGCCGCCAGCCGCCGGCCCGAGGGCGAGGAGGACGAGGAGGATGTAGGTTCGAAGGAAAAGGATGACGAGGAGGATGACTTAGGAGGACGAGGAGGACGACAAGGCCCCAAGCATGCGAGTGGTGTGCCGATGCATTGGATGCATTCGCTGAGGTCTTCAATGGCGCTCTCGCTTCAGCGCGAGACAAGATTGCAGAGTGAACGGGAGTGAACGGGTGGGCGAGGGGGATCGCGAGGGATCCAAGAGGGCCCATATGGTGTCGAGGGAATCCAATACGGCCCTCCCGAGAGTAGGAACCTAAATGGCCCCGGAGCCCCCCAAAGGCCCTAAGGCGGCCGTGGCGAGTCAAACGCTTTCGAGAAACACGCCTTGCGGCAGGGGGCCACCCCGGGTACTTGCAAGCATTCAAGATGGCATCCGAGGGGCCAGCCAGAGACCCGCGCCCAATATCGAGTAGGAAGGCACCAACTATACACCAACACCGATCCTGGCCAGGATCACCCTGGGCCCAGGATCGGTATACGCCCTCCTGCCTTGCGCAAGAAGGCATATACACCGATCCTGGGCCCAGGGTGATCCTGGGCCAGGATCGGTGTTGGTGTATCGTTGGTGCCCTCCGATCGAGATATCAAGATATCGAGATATCAAGTCCTCCTTCTCCTCGGGCCCGAAAGGAGGCCCCTCCTAAGGATCGCAGCGCCCTTCGCGTGTCCCGGCCCCGCCCGTGTCGCGTGCCGTATCCCGCCCGTGTCAGTATCTCTCCAGTATCCCGCCCGCGCCCCGCCCGCGCTCCGCCCGCGCGCAAACGCGAGCGGGGCGCGGGTGGCATGCGGGTGATACGGCAAGGAGCTCCTGAGCTCGCCCCAGATCCGTAACCATTTTGGCCGATGCTAGATCGCGCCCCGCTCGGCCCGGCCCCGCGCTCAGCCCCTCGCCCGGCGCGGTCGCGCCCTGCCCATCCTGGCGCCCCGCCTGGCGCCCAGGCCCGACGCCCAGCCCGACGCGCAGCCAGACCGACGCCCAGGTCCGACGCCCAGCCCGACGCGCAGCCATGTCCAGCAAGACGTTCACTGAGCTGAAGCGCTGGTCGGGCCAGTATACTGAGCGAGATGAGATTGGACAAGTGTGGAGGGCCACGCTCGTGGCGCTGAAGTGGGGGGGCGGAGGCGTCGAGGAGCAGTGGCTGTGGAAGCTCGACGGCGAGCCCAGCGCCAAGCCCAGCGCCAAGACCGACATCAAGCCCGACGCCATGCCCGACACCATCGACGACGACAAGAGCAAGGGCAAGGGCCCGGGCAAGGGCGGCAAGGGCAACAAGGGCAAGGGCAACGACAAGGACAAGAAAGGCAAGGCCGGCAAGGGGGGCAACAACAAGGGCAAGGGCGGCAAGGACAAGGCCAACAAGCGCAAGGCCGACAAGGGCACGGCCGACGCGGCCGACGCGGGCAAGAAGGGCAGGCGCCGCTGACGGCCGACCGCCAGCACGCCGGCGGGCGTTGCGCCCTGGACTGTGCTCGAGGGGCCGTGGGTGGGACCTCCTTTGGGGCCATGGGGCCACGTGGCGCGTGAGGGTCGTGCCGATGCGGGCGGGGAATTCCATGGGGGGGGGGCCGCTGGGGCCTCTGGTAGAGCTCCGCATGTTGCGACGCAGGATGGGGCTAGTGGCGGGTCGGCACGAGATAGATGGTACCAGGGGCCCTCCAGGGAGCCGTGGCAGGCCATCGGGACCGATGCCGCAGCAAGTTTCGAAACCCCCCTTCTCCCCCCTTCTCCAGATCCCCCCATCTCGTCCGACCCGACAGGGGGGTCCAGCGCCGACGCGGGACGTCCGCGCGGAGCTCCGATTGTCTGCGCATGTCACTGTCTGCTCCTCGACCCTGGGACCCAAGGGCCCTTCGAGCACGGCCCAGGGCGCCCGCCCCACGCCCGCGCCGACGGCCCCGTCGCTACGCACCCAGGGTGACGCATGACGCACCCCTTCCAAACGCTTTCAGAAACACGCTACCCGCTCGCTCCCCTCCCCACCCGTCCTCGTCCTCGTCCACAACCACAGAGACTGAAAGGGGCATCCCAAGGCATCACCGTGGGGTGGGGTATCGCAGTATTTGTCAGGGCTCCCTAGATGCTCTTAGAGGATTGGCTCCCCAGACAATCTTACTTGGGCCGATCTGGCGAGGGCGACGAGGAAGGCGAGGGATGAGGGAAGAGGGAGGTGGAGGAGGCCAATGTCGCGATTGCCACGGGCGCCAGCGAGCATCGCATCTTGCGCAGAGGGCAGGGAGGAACCCTGACGGCGCCAGCCTCATTGTCGGGCAGGGGCGACGATAGATGAGAGAACGACGCCCTCGGAAGAGCGTAGCTGGCCAGATGAATTGAGCGGATAGGGGGCCGAGGTTAGGTCGGAGAAATGCGGGCGGGGAAGCCATCCATGTAAGCGAGATCGCGGGCGGGCGGGCAGGCGGGCGGGCGGGCGGGGACAAGCGCCAGTCAGGGCTCGGAGGGAAGGCCCAGGTCAGGGAGGCGGGCGCGGGCGGGGGAGTGGAGTGGGCGGTGAGGGGATCGAGGATTCAGGGTCGAGAGCCGAGAGCCAGGATGCCCCGGGCGCGGTCTCCTGGCGCCTTGGAGCCCCCGCGCTGTTATACCGAAACGCGACACCACCTGCATAACGACCTGCGGGGCAGGCCTTCGGCCCTGAGCTGGGTCGGCTGGAGGCTAGTGATCTCAGGCGTCTC